ACCGTTGGAAAGCAGACACCTAAGGCTAACCGCTGTCCAAGTTTCAGCCTCGTATGTTCTCGGAGCTGATCGTGACGGCGTTTTGAACAGAGGCGGTTTGAAGACGTCAGATTCTGCTTAGGCGGTTTCATGGGCATCCGCGACCCCTAAGTGGACTGCAGACTATAACACACAGGCACTTACGTAGACGAGGTTCCCCCACCTGGGGCGAACATCGTTAGTGGCATGTGGATTTTCAGGGTGAAGCGGCCGCCGGGTTCTCCACCTGCCTTCAAGGCACGTTACGTTGCACGTGGCTTCAGTCAGCAAAGGGGAGTTGACTTCTTTCAGACCTTCTCCCCTACCCCGAAGATGACCACTCTTTGGGTACTGCTGCACGTTGCTGCTCAGCGTGACTACGAGCTCCACTCGCTTGACTTCAGCACAGCCTTCCTCCAGGGCAGCCTGCACGAGGAGATCTGGCTGCGCCGCCCACCTGGCTTCACTGGGTCGTTTCCTGCTGGTACCCAGTGGAGCCTCCGACGGCCAGTCTACGGTCTCCGCCAGGCACCCCGTGAGTGGCACGACACACTCAGGACAACTCTTGCTGTTCTTGGCTTTGCTTCTTCCACTTCTGACCCTTCTATGTTTTTACGCACTGACACTACTCTGTCAGAATGTTATATTTGTCTAGCCTGCAGTGGGGTTCTCAATAGTGAGTACAGCCCAATTTAGGGTTTGCTATATGTACTCAACTGGTTGCTAGTGAAACCCCTCTTTCTTGTTTCTAACTTTCATTCCTGTTTCTTCACATGGAATCAGAGCAGGTCGACTCTCACGGGTCGATCCTGTGGATGGGCCCACCCAATACTTCCGCTGCTGCTGCTCTGCCTAACGCGCGCCTCGAGCGCGCACAGTCTGCCTGCCTGCCGCGCGCCCATGGCGCGCGGCCATTTTTCTTCCCGCCGCGCGCCCGACCGTCTGGCGCCCCGTGGCGCGCGGCGGTGCCCTGCCCCGGCCTTGCCCCGGCCCTGCCCCGTCGCCCGTCGCGGTCCCGTCGCGGCCCTGCCCCGTCGCCTGTCGCGGCCCCGTCACCTGTCGCGGCCCCGTCGCGGCCTCGCCCCGGCCATGCCCCGTCGCTCGTCGCGGCCCCGTCGCGGCCCCGCCCCGGCCCTGCCCCGTCGCCTGTCGCGGCCCCGTCGCGGCCTCGCCCCGGCCCTGCCCCATCGCTCGTCGCGGCCCCGTCGCGGCCCCGCCCCGGCCATGCCCCGTCACCTGTCGCGGCGCACTGGGGGCACGCGCACCGCCCCCCCCCCCCCCCCCCCCCCCCCCCCTCTTTTCCCGTCGCCTGTCGAGGCGACCTGAGGGGGCCGCGCGTCGCCCCTTCTGCCGCCTGTTCCGGCGCCCTGGAGGGCCGCGCGTCAGCCCCTCCTGTCTTCGTCGCGGCCCTGCCCCCCCCCCCCCCCCATAACCTCCCTACCCGCCATCCTGCCCTGCCCTGTGTTAGGGTTTGGGGGTGGCGAGTAGGGGGTGGCGGGTGTGTGGCCTCCCCTGCTCCTCCTCCTCCTCCGTCTCCCACTGCTGCAGCTGCCGCTGAGGGGGGTGGGTGTGTGGGAGTCGACGGAGTGGTGCTAGGGGGTGGAGTCTGAGTAGTGCTAGAGGTGCAGCAAGGGGTGTGTGAAAGGGGGGTGGGACAGTTTGGGGAGGTTGAAGGGGGGGTGGCTGCCGTGAAGCCCGCAGCTCCCGTCGCCCGTGAGACCGTTGCGCCAGTCGCCCGTGAGCCCGTTGCTCCAGTTGCCCGTGAGCCCGTTGCTCCAGTCGCCCGTGGGTCCGTTGCTCCTGCCGCTCAGAGTTAGCCGCGGAGCCAGTTACTCCAGTAGCACATGTGCCAGTTGCTCCAGTTGCCAGTGTGCCAGTTGCTCCAGTTGCCCGTGTGCCAGTTGCTCCAATTGCGTCGTGTGCCAGCAGCTTCAGCTGCCGCCCACTACCTCCTCTCCTCTCATAGTCCCTCCTCCTCCACACTTGCCCTCTGTGATAGCTTCTAGCTTTGCTTATTATTATTGTGAACTATTGCTTGCTTGCTTGTTCTGCTGATTACACCCCACTTTGGCTATGGGGGTGTGTCAGAATGTTATATTTGTCTAGCCTGCAGTGGGGTACTCAATAGTGAGTACAGCCCAATTTAGGGTTTGCTGTATGTACTCAACTGCTTGCTAGTGAAACCCCTCTTTCTTGTTTCTAACTTTCATTCCTGTTTCTTCACATACTCTGCCGCCGTTCTACGTTCTCGTGTACGTAGACGACCTTGTCTTTGCTACTGCTGACACTGAGGCACTCGCCCACGTGAAGTCCGAGCTGCAGAAGAGACACACGTGCACAGACCTGGGTGAGCTGACAAGCTATCTTGGCTTGCGGATCACCCGGGACAGAGCACAGCGCACCATTACCTTGACTCAGTCACACATGGTGCAGCAGGTCCTTCAGCGCTTCGGCTTCACGTACTCCTCGCCACAGTCCACTCCTCTGCCTACCGGTCACTCCCTCTCAGCTCCACCTTCGGACGAGTCCGTAGAGCCGAGTGGCCCGTATCCAGAGCTTGTGGGCTGCCTCATGTACCTGATGACTTGCACACGACCTGACCTCGCATACCCTCTCAGCCTTCTGGCTCGCTACGTGGATCCCGGCAGGCACCGAAAGGTGCACTGGGATGCTGCGAAGAGGGTGTTGCGCTACTTGTGCAGTACATCGGGCATGAGGCTCGTGCTTGGAGGACGGGCTCGAGTTGTCCTCACTGGTCACGCTGACGCCTCCTGGGTTGACGACTTGGCTACGCAGCGGTCGTCACAGGGTTACACCTTCAGTCTTGGCTCCGGCTCTGTCTCTTGGTGGTCTACCCGCTCTTCTTCTGTTCTCAGCTCCAGTTGTGAAGCTGAGATCTACGCTGGGGCCATGGCTGCACAAGAGCTACACTGGCTCACCTACGTGCTGACCGACTTGGGAGAGGCGCCCCGTTCTCCGCCAGTTCTGTACGTCGACAACAAGGCCATGCTGGCCTTGTGTCAGGAGCACAGACTGGAGCACAAAACGAAGCACATTGCTCTGCGCTACTTCCTTGCTCGAGAGTTGCAGCAGCGTGGCCAGCTTCGTCTTGCTTACGTGGCCTCTCAAGCCAACACTGCTGATGTTTTCACCAAGGCACTTCAGCCTTGTGATCATCAGCGTTTCTGTACTGTGTTAGGGCTTGTGCTTACTGTACCTCACTTACTTTCTCCTTGACTCTGTTTGTACTGTACTCTTTATACATATACCTGCATGTTTACACTTGCTAGGTTGTGTTCACTGTATTGTTTGTTCTCCTTTATATAACTCTGTATGTGAACTGGCCTTGTGGCCATTTGCTTGTGCTCAGACTGCGTGGTGACTTTGTGATCCACCCTGAGCTTGCTTTGTCTTCCTTGACTGGTCTTGTGACCTCTTGTTCTCCCCCACTTTGCCTATGGGGGTGTGTCAAACTTATATGCTAAAGTCTGTTTAGGCTGTAGTGGGGTAGTCCTTAGAGGGTACAACACTTTTGTGTTTTCTACTTGTACCCACCTGCTTTGTAGTTCATACCATTCCGTTCCTGATGCTAACAGCATAATCTCGTTCAACTCCGCCTGGTCCATACTTCACAGGCTTCGTCGGACGGTCACGGGGTGACTAGCGGTTTTTATGACTTTGATGAATGCGCGAACGCTAACGTAGTCGGAGTGAAATAATCGTACCTCTTTTACAGGCCGACCGCTTCGCAGCCCACCAAGTCTATCGCTCCCCTTACACAAACTACTCCGGAAACGCGAGGGTAACCTAGGAAAGTAGCTCTGATATCATGTGTTATGAGTTGTAATGAAAAGAGTGCGCATGATTCAATAACGCGGAAGTGATAACAACATCCGAGCAAACAATGAAGCCTAGCATAGATATAGCGAGGGCTAGCTAGGTCAGGGTCGCGGGACCTCGAATGGTTGGGTGCAGGTTCGGGGTTGGGAAACCCGAAGGCGACGCGAGGGACGTTCGGAGGGCGAGCTCGTCGGACCGAGCCTGGGACTCCGAAAGTTGGAGTTGTACGTGCAGAGTGCCCAGGTAAGGAATTTGGGGAAATACCTTAGGTGTGGGTAAGAGAGGGATTTCCCCTCCACCCTAGCCTTCCTAACGAACCAATGAAAACTTGCAACTGGGTTGGAGGGGACTTGCCGGCGCAGAAACTTCTTTCCGGTTCATGTACCGTTTATCCCTTGCCTAGCTCACGTGGAATGACAGGTGAACTGTTGCCCACCTGCTGCTGACTCAGTGTAGGACCTTTGGTCACCCTAGGCTACTACCTCAACGCAGATGTTTCCACGGCGGCGCTCGTATCGCGTTTTGCAAGGATCTTTGTTCCAAAAATTTCTGACCGCACAATATTGGTGTCAGAGATATAGTACGAGTCTAACGATGCGCATTTCCACGCCGCCTAAAACTCGTTCCTGTGGCCCTGCCGCGTGGCCTCCATCTGCAAATGTCGCAGGTCGCCTTCTCCTTTTCGTGGTCCTCGCGCTCATTGCCGGCGCCGCTGCTTGCTCCCTTCCCACCGCCTGCTCCCTTCCCACCGTCAATCGCCTCCTGCCGCGTCGAGATGCTCAGCGTCTGTCCCAACAGCGCCTGCGCGGCCTGCCTCGCCTCGCTCTACCCACCCGCGCCCGTCGCTCGCTTTTAAAGCTCGACGCCGCCACCGGCGGCGCCGCCGCGGCCGTCTCGAAAGCGACCGGCGCAAGCGCTGCAAAATCCGTGGTTTTGGAAGGCTCGCAATGTGAGTCGCCGGTTGTCCAGGGGAATACGGTTGTCGTCCAGTCGGTCGAGTTCTGAGGAAGACAGAGAATTGCACGCGCAGGGGCGGCAGGTCCTGACCCGCACTTTCAGCTGAACTTTCAAGATGAGACGTCACCCTGGGAGTTTGAAGACCTACGTGAATCTGCTCTTATCCCCCCCTTGCAAGGAGGCAGTGCGCGCGCTCGTGCAGCTGCAGCAGGCGTGGGGCGCGTGGGCGGGCAACAACAACGCCACCACGGCGTGCTCTGCATGGACTGGCGTCACCTGCAGCCCCAACGGGCTCGTCGTTGCCCTGTGAGTCCCATTACAGCCCCTCATTGCCCCTGTTGCCCCTGTTGCCCTGATCGTCATTGCCCCTGTTGCCCTGATTGTCGCTTGGTGCTGTGATCGCCCCCCATTGCCCTTGTTGTCGTCATTGCCATCGGCCCTCATTGCCCGTCCGTGCTCATGTCGCCTTCATTGTTCATCACCGTTTGACCCTTCCATTGGCTGCGCACGTGCAATCGTCGTGTACTATTCCCAAGCGGCTGGATGCTGTGCATGTGCGGGGGAGAATGGATGGAGTCGCAATCTGAACGAGGAGGGGGATGGGTGAAAAGTGGAGGTGGGGTGTACGATGGGGGGGACTGGACTGGGCTGGATACTGGTGCGGGGAAGTGGGGTGGGGTGGGATGTGAGGGACGGATGGGAGGGCTGGTATTGCGGGAATGCTTGCGTATGTTGGCAGGGATGCAAAGCTATTCTCTGAAGTGGATCCTCCGCCAAGTGGCGCCATACCCGCCTCCATCACTAGTCTTGCCACTCTGCAATACCTGTGCGTCACCCACCTCCTCCCTCCACTACACCCATGTTGCATGCACCACATCTGTCCTTCGATTACCATGCCCAACATGTGCTTGCTCCTATTAATTCACACACTCTCATGCTTCACTCACACCCATGCCTGGCCTGGCCGCACCCCACTCACGTCATACTGCCTCCACTAGTACATATTTCTGCTTCCTTGTCCACTGTTGTTTCCTCGCCTCTCATCCCCGCAGCGATCTGACCTACATTGACCTGGTGGGGTCCATTCCATCCCTCGCCACTCTCACCCGCCTCACCCACCTGTACGTGCATCTTCTGTTGAAGTGTACGACCTTGAAAGTTTGGGAAGTAAGAAAATAGCATTAGAGCGAGCAAGAGACCAAGATATAGAAGCAAGGGGTAGGAAATGAGGAGATGATCTGCACTAGGCAAGGCGATTTATGTAATTGGATGCATATTAATCCGCACATTTTTGTGGCCAAAAGAGCAACATACCAAACCCCTGTTCGCTTCGTCACGAACGAGGCTTTTTTTACCCCAAAGCGTTCGAGTCAGACTCACCCTTGGCGCATTCGCCGGAAGCGAACGCATCCGCCCTAGGTTCGCGTAAAAACCAGTGCATCAATTTGGCGCACTGGTTCACATATTGGGTCGAAAAGTCCATTTCCTCTGTTTCGAGCTCGAAGTCGATCATTCAACATTTCGCTAAGCTCCTAAGCCACACCCGCGCTGTTTGAAATAAGGCTTAGGTCACTCGAAAAGCTACAGGAAGGGAAGGACAGATTCTGGGTAGGTCTAGAATGTCGAAAATAGGAATCACAAGGATAGTGGGGGATTGGTTGGGAGGGGTGAGCGAGGGATGTTAGGGCGGGTCAGCCTTGATCGGTCACATTCGTACGGGCTGTGGGCTGACACCCAGCTGGCTAGGGTCCACCGGCCTGCTGTTTCATAACCCAACCCAAAATAACCAAAACTACACTCAAGTACAAAACATGAGAATATAATATATTACAAACAGTACCCTAAACCCGAAACCCTAAACCTCTTATAACATTTCACTACATACTTGATAATCTTCTGTCCCTTATTCGACCTCAATTATCAGTTGTTAGCCCTGACATGTTTCCCTGCCCTCCTGCACTTCACTGATTCTTTGCCTGCCATTGCTCCTTGTACTCAGAGCTATTGGAGTGGCGGGCAGCAGGCTGACTGGCACATTGGACGGACTGGCCTGGCTCTCCTCCCTCACCAACCTGCAATCACTGTATGCCTGCAAACACTGTGTGCCCTGCATGTCACGCTGCTCCAGAATTCCATGCCGAAGGCCCATGTTCCTCTCCTACACCCCCACGACTTCTTGCATGCCTCGCTGCCTTCCCACCACCAGGAATCTGGAGTACTTGGAGGCATTCACAGGGGACTTGTCCTCTCTGCACATCGTTTCTCACATGACGAACCTTAAGCAACTGTAAGTTGATACGAGCAACAATCGAACTCGAAATGGCCCTCGAACCAATTCGACAGCCATGGTGTAGAATTCCTAGGAGTGTTGGACCTGGCCCAAATCTTATGACCAGCTGGCGAGGCGCGAGCCACGCTGGAGGTTGAACACCAGTTCAATGTGCTTTGGCAGTAGAACCAGACGGTTTGACTTGAACTGCAGTCGGTTCGAGTTGAGCCGTTTTCCCTTTTAATGGAAGATGCGGATCGGTTGGATCAAAACGAACTCATGTTTGGGATTATGCCCAAGTCTAGCTGTAAGAATGATTACGGTGCACGACATAGTGGGGTCGCGTCGCAAGGTGTTTCTGTCCTGATTCTCATGGTAGCGTGCATGTGATATGGTGGCCAATACCAACTTGCAACTGGCACTGGATTCACCGTTGCTGACTGCATGTGCATGAACGCAGGACACTTGCTTCGCTCACCAATGCCACAGGGGAGATACCCAGGGAGATCCGATATTTGACTGCCCTCATTTCACTGTGGACAAATTATCCAGCATGGGACAGATGAAGCAAGTTTTTTCGTGCGTTCGTCCCTGCAGGGACTTATCCTTCCTTCGTGCCCTGGAGTTTCCCGATTGGGTCACTCACCTCTCCAACCTTGAGTACCTGTAAGCGTCACCTCGTCCTCATCCACTCTCTTACTGTCCCATTGCCGCTCGCCACTCACATTTCCCCAGGAAGCACGAGAACCGAACATGCCATTGCTGTGAGAAGCTCAGTGAGATACTCGCAACGCCCTTTTTTCCTTTGTTCGCAGGAATGTGGGGACGGATGATCCGCGCCGGCAGGGGGTGGTGATAGACGCTTTCTCCGAGCTCACAGCACTCACCAGCCTGTGAGTTTAGTGTGCGCGGGGGTATTAGGAGCATGCATGCTCGCAATTAGCTCATAAGTAGATGAGCCTACTCGATTGTAATTCTCGTTTTTCAAATGTATTGTTATAGAAATAGAGGTTTCCGTGAACCATGTACCTCATTTGGGGCTAGTAGTTATTGCTGTTGGGTGTTGGAAAAGCAGATGCCATGTACGAGTGTGCCTCCTCGAAAGAGATTTAGATGAACACATTCCCCCCCTGCACCATCTCAAGTTGTTTATTGTAGCCATGCTGCATTACGGTCTCCATAGGCGCGGGAAAGACACTCGCGAGTTTACCATGACCCCCACCGGTGAACAGTTCACGCACCCATGCTCTGCAGATCCCTGAGCGGAAACAACCTGGAGGGCTACCTACCCAAGAGCTGGTCCACTCTGGTCAATCTGCAGGAGCTGTGAGTCGTCCTGCCAATCTCCACTCCTTTCTGCCACTCCTGCCATGCAGAATTTCCACCATGTTGCTGTGGTGCTTAGTTGCCGAAGACGCTCAACGCGTCTTGCGTCTAGCGTCTAGACGCAGCGTCTAGACGCTAGACGCAAGACGCACTTTTAGACGCAAGACGCTTGGGCGAATTTTTTTTCGGGCAGCCCGAAAAAAAAATTCGCGCGTGCGAAATTGAAATCGCCATTTTGACGCGAAATTCAATTTCGCGCCATTAGAACCCCTTCCCACCCATTTCGACCACAAAAACCAGCCCCCCAAGCAAATTTGAATCCCCCCCAACCAAAATTGAACACAAACCACACTTCACCGCTTGGTATCTAGAAAACCCAACCTCTATGGCTAACCACCAAGAGGTTGGGGAGCACAAATCCCTCATTTGTGCTCCCCTACCTCCATTTCTTCCAAATCTCTTTCGAAAACCCTTAGGGTTTAGCTACTTCCACCGCACAACCATGTCTTCTAGTATCCATTGTGACATAGGTGCATGTCCCCCACCCTCCCCATGCCCCATAGAACATTTTTTGGTCTGCCCGAACATTTTTTTTAGGCCTGCCCGGGTTTTCGTCTAATACTGCGTCTAATCTACACTGTCTAGCGTCTAGCGTCTTAGACGCTGCGTCTAGACGGACGCGTCTAAGACGCTAGACGCGTCTTCCGCAACTAAGCTGTGGTGTCATGCTGTCCCAATACCATGTTGCTGTGGTGTCATGCTGTCCCAATATCGTGTTGCTGGTAGCAGCATGAATCTCATATGCGTTGATCCATGCCAATATTCTCTGATTGGCAAACTTGTCTTGTTTCGTTCTCATCCCAGATATTTAAGTACCAACCACCTCCGAGGAGCCATTCCGGAAACATTTTCGGCCCTAACGGCCCTCGTTTCAGTGTAAGATTCCTGCGTCCTGCCCACTTCCCATTGTCTGACCACCGTTCTGTCCCTGCCTATTTTCCTGTGTCTTCCTCAATCCTCACTCACCGTACCATGGTTCAATCATTCTACCCACTCCGTTGCAGAGACATTTCGTGGAATTCTCTTTCTGAATCTATACCCCCAGTATTCGGCACCAACATCCAAACGTTGTATGTCATTCTTCGCTCCGCACCTGCTCCACTTTTCCAAGCCAAGCCTAAATACCAGCCTATTTTTTTCTCAACATTTATACAAGTCAGCTCGTGGCCTGCGCATCTCTTCCCGTCGTGCATTCCCTGTTGAACCATGCTATAAGTTGTCTTGGTTGAACCTTCGTGTCTTTTGGCTCTAAAAGGGGGGAGGGGTATACATGAGCAAGAACGGAACTCCAACAGGTTTGACTTGAATGGACTTGAACCGGTCAGGAAGCTGAACCGCACCAAACCGGTTCGAGTTGAACTGGATGGCAAGTTCGGTTCTTGCTCATGTCTACCTTCCCCCTTCAAATCGGTTAGTTAGTCGGCCAGGTTGACACACGGGGCGGGGGCGAATGTCGAGTTGAGCAAGTGTGGCTCGATAGTAGAAAAAACACTTGGTCATCAAGTCAACCAAACAGCGAGTACTTGGCCTTTGTCTTGACCGAGCTTGCTTTGGTTCATTCGACTCGGTCAATTAACAGCTCCAAAATCTCAATCGTGTCAACTTATTTCGAAGTGTAATAATAAAAATTACTAGTATTTATTTACTGTGATGAGGAGGCTTATGGGTGCCTCATGCGGAGATAACTACTGCAACGGGAGCTAGACTACGGGGAAGGCACGGTTGCAAGGGTGATCTCAGCGTTCCTTGCGTTCTCTGGCACTTGCGTGTTCACGGGGCAAAACGGCAAGAGTTTCACAAGAGAAAGTTCAGAACAATAGTTGAACAAGCAAAGCAACAATAGACTACATCAGATGCAAGGTTGCCTAGCAGGTCGACCTCCAACGCAGCATGGTCGACCGCGTTCCAACACTGCAAAGTCGACCACGCTCCAACAGTGCAAAGTAGTGGCCTGCCAACGCTGCAAGTCGACGGCGTGCCAACGTTGCAGCAAGGCGGCTGCATAGCATTGCACCCGCATGACAGCAGCGCACCCGCTTCGCAGGTGCTCGCAGCTAGTTGGCGAGCTGTGCCCCTTCACGTGCACAGCGCAGACACCAAACCGACCACATGCCAAAGTCTGCACCTGATCAGCCACGTCGACCTCGAGATACCACCTCCGAGGTCGACTTTGCTAGAGCTACCTCGGCGATCGTCGCCCACCTCCGCAGAGTCCCGTCGCCGGGTAGCCTGGTCGACCGGGCAACCATGTCGACTAGGTGCAGCTCCGCGTGGCTGTCGATTGCCCAGGTCGACGACCACCGTCGCCGACTTCACCAAGCCAGCTCCCACAATTCGTTGTCCCCAAGTCGACGCCACCCACCTCGGCGCCACCAAGTCGGTGCCTCTCAGCTCGGTGCCACCAAGTTGGCACCCCCCAGGTCGGCCTCGCCAGGACGACCTCCCGAAGTTGGCTCCCTTCAAGTCGGCGCCCCTTCCCAGGTCGACGATCCCCGTCGTCGACCACCGATAGATGTCGGTCGTCGACGTACCCGTAGTCGGCGGCTTTGCAGTGGCCCCGTGCAGGTCGACCAGACCTGTTGACCAGCTTGACCAAGTCGGCCACTGCTGCTATTCGGCTGCACCTCCCGTACACCCGACTACGAAGTCGGCTCCGCCCAAGCGAGGATGGGGCCAACAACCAACTCCCGTTGACACTCCCCTGCCGCGTTCACGCTTGGGACCTGCAACCTACACGGCAGCACTACTTGGAGAATAGCTCGTCGGCGTGCACACAACACACAGCACGTCGTCACCGCACCAGCCGTGCAAAAGGGCACGGCACCTATTGCTGCATGTCGTCGTCACCGTCGCCGATGTCGGCCAGTCGCACTTAGCCGATTGCAACGGAGCACCGGTTGAAAGCCAGAAAGTGCAGCGCCTTCGTCAGGAAGTCTGCCGCTTGCTCGGTGGTCGGGATGTATTTCAGCGTGATCTTCTCGCACTTCACCATGTGCTGCAGCCAGGCATATCGCTGTTCCATGTGCTTGAGGTTGCCCTGCAGCCCCAAGCCCTCGACGACCGTGATGGCCGACTTGTTGTCCACACGAAGGACGGTCGGCGTCCCAGTGTCCAGCAGCTGAAACTCTGCAAGTAGGAAGCGGAGTTGGCGTCCCTCTTTGCCGGCTTTTGTGGCCGCCACATACTCCAACTCGGTCGACGAGAGAGTCGCACACTTGATGCGCTGGCTCGACCAGGAGACGGCGGCCCAACCGAAGGCGAATACGTAGCCGCCCGTGCTTGTCCGATTCTGCTTGTCACCGGCGTCGTCAGCGTCCACGTAGCCGACCAACTTCAGCGACTTTGGTCCACTGTCGATCTCCAAGGCGGTGTCACGGGTGTCGGTGAGATAGGCGAGGCAGCAGTCGACTTCGCACCAATGCTGGTCGGTCCTCACCGTGAGGCCGCTCCCCAGCTTGCTGCAGGCAAAGGCGATGTCCGGCCTCGTCGTCGTCGCCGCGAACTGCAGCGAGCCGACCTTCTGCCGGTACTCCTCGCGCTCCTGAGCCTCCTCGTCGTCGAACGTCAGCTCGGCGTAAGCGTCGACGGAGACCGGCATCTTCGAGACTCGGCCGCCCTGCTCCTCGTCGATGAAGCGCCTACGCAGCTTCTCGGCGCGCCCTGCTGGTGCAGCCACAGCTTCCTCGCCGGCCTTTCGCGGACGATCTCCTCCCCGGGGTACTTCACGACCGACGAGATCTCGCGCAGCTCAAAGGCAGCCTCCAGCAGCTCCTTCAGCTCCCTCAGCATCGCGGTGATGCTACTGGCGGCGAGCACGTCGTCAACGTAGACCAGCACCCAGCAGGTCGCCCCATCGTCGCTGACCTTGAAGTAGAGCGCCTGGTCGACCTGACTCTTCTTCCAGTCTGCTCGCAGCAGCACGTCATCTAGCGTCTTGTACCACAGCAGCAGCGACCCGGTCGGTCCTATCGTCGTAGTAGTTCGGCCGGTACATGTACAGCACTCGGGCGAGCTTACTCTAGAGGAAGGCGTTCTTCATGTCGAGTTGCATCGGGTTGACGTCGACGACGACGACGATGCTGAGGAAAAACTTCAGCATGACGTAGCTGCTCACCGGTGCATATGTCTCGTCGTAGTCGGTGCCATACACCTGCGGGAAGCCCTTCACGACCAGCCTCGGCTTCTGGCGCTCGACAGTGTCGTCGATGCGGTACTTCGTCATCAGCACCCACCGGTTCTTCATGATGTTCACCCCGTGGCGGGCGCTCGATCACCACCCACGTGCCGTTGACGACGAGGCTGCGAATCTCCTCGTCCATGGCAACCTTCACTGCCTCGCCCTTCCAACTCGCCAACGCCTCCTTCACCGACATCGTTGCGATGTCCCAACGGTGCTCGGGGTTGGCGTGCATGTCGAGGTCGAGCTCTGGTAGGTCGACGTCGGCCTCGGCGTCGTCGAGCAGCGTGGTGAAGGCAGCCGGCGGGAGGCAGACACGGTAGGTCAGCCGCTCACGCGGCCCCCAGTGTCGGCCTGAACGTCGCAGTTCATTTTTCTCAGCGGTGACCTCCACCACGTCGCTGTCAGTAAACTCCTCGTCCTCCGACTGCTCTTCTTCGTCGTAGCTGGCTTCATCGTCCCCACCGGCCTGCGTCATCGAGGTCGGCTGCTCAGCCTACTTCTCACCTATCGTCGGCTCCCCTGCCGACTGTCCGGTCGACGAAGGCTCATTGGTCGGCTTCACTGCAGGTTGCTCCCCTGAGGTCGGCAGCTTCCCTGCAGACGCCTCATTCTCCGACTTGTCCTTTGTCGGGGTCGACTCTACCGCCTGCTGCTCCCCTGCCTGCGTTGGTTTTGTTTCCACTCCGACTTGCCTGACATCACGTCGACCACCAGCGATGCCACCAGTCGGCGCCATAGACGCCGCCCCAATGCTCCCCTCATCACCGGAGGCCGACGTCGGCGTCAGCCCATGCAGGTCGGCTACGAGGGGTGGGGAGACAGGAGGGAGGGGGGGGGGGGGGGGGGAAGGACGTCCTCGGCGTCCTCATCGGTAGGCTCACCGACTTCGACGAGCAATGAGAGTGTCGCCGTCGAAGTGTCCGTTGGCAGGTTGACCTGTGTCCGCCAGACGCTAGCCCATGCTCCAACCTCTACACCTCGAGCGACATGGTCACGTAAAACACCACGTTCGAAGTGATGACCACCTTGTTGTTGGTGAACTCAAGAAGCTCCCAGTCCTTGCTCTTTTCCGACACACCGAGGTGAAAACCCCACTGGGCCTTTGGAGCCAGCTTCCCGCCACGTTGCTGCTCAGGGACCAGGAACTGCGCCATGCATCCCCACACCTGCGCCAGCGTCAAGTCGGGCTTCTTCCCGGTCAGCAGCTGGTACGGCGTCGTCCCCGACGGCAGCGTCGACCTCTCCAAGCAGTTGCGGACCCAGACGGCCTGTCGCAGGGAGAGGTGCCACTAGAGATGCTGCACGCCCATTTGCAGCAGCATCGGCCGCACCGACTCGACCACCGTGCGCATCTCCCTCTCCGCCATGCCATTCTGCTGCGGGGTGTACGGGCAGGTGATGTCGTGGAGGATACCCTTACCTTACCATCCATGAAGTCGATGAACTGCTTCTCGAGGAACTCCCCTCAGCATTAGCACCGACTTCTTTGTTTGCCGCTCAGCCACCAGCAGCCACTTCTCAAACTCCCGTAGCACGTGAGACTTCTTCGCGACCGGCCTCACCCACATGAAGCGGGTTTTGCGATCCTTCAACATCAAGAAGTAGAGGCTGCCATCCTTGGCAGCCACCCGGAACGGCCCGCACAAGTCGATGTGCACAACAGCTAGGGCGTCGTCGGCATCCGAGCCCTTGTCGAGGAAGGTGTGCTGCGCTAGCTTCCCATGGACGCACAAGACACACGGAGAGTCGGTGCCGGCCGACGGCTTTATGTCCAGGCCGGTGGCGACCTCATGCTTCGCCGAGCTCGTGATGGTGTAGACGCCGATGTGTGCAAGCCTCGAGTGCCACCTGGCCGGCATCGACTTCGTCGCTGAGACGATCACCGCAGAGCCACCACCTCGACTGGCTTGGTCGTCGACTTCGTTGAGCAGGGGCGATGGTCGGTGTAGAGGACCCAGTCGGTATACGTCGCCCGACCAAGCACGTCCCCCGCCTTCGAGACGAGCAGCATCCCATCACAGTCGTCCTGCAGCTTCACACCGCTCTCCTTCAGCTGGCCGGCTCATAGCAGGTTGGCGTGCACGCCTGGGACGTAGAGGAAGTCGGGGATGAGCACCTGCTTCCTGGCCTTTTTGCAGGGCGATAGTGCAGCGCCCCATTGAAGCCGCGCACGTGCTTGACGTCGCCGCTCGGCCCCATCAGGTGGTGCGAGCAGCCGCTGTCGAGCAGGACCACCCCCGGGTTCGCCTGCACGGCTGCTGCCACCGCCTGGAGCTCCTCGCCGTCGCCTCGCCCCTTACCTACAGAGGAGTCGGCGTCCTTCGCCGACATCGGCTTGGTCGACTGCTTCTCCTTGCGCGGCTTGCTCTCCCGACGTGGGCGACGACCAACTGACCTCCCGCGGCCTCCCTTTGTGTCATCGTCATCAGAGTCCTCGCGGTCGAGGGTGTCCTCCTTCAGCGACTCTCGCATGCCCGGCATCACAGAAGTCGGCGCATCAGGTTGAAGCCGCTCGCGAGACCCTTGACGACGTGCGTGATGTACGACGTCGTCGAGTAGTCGACGCCGTCCATCCACATGTTGGCCAGGAGCCGACGAGCTCGGTTGCAGTGGTCGGTTGCCGTCTCTTGCTCGCCCATCCTCGGGTGCGCCAGCTGCTCCTCCAGCTGGCCGATGTACAGGTCGTCGGTGGCCTGGTACGTCGACGTGATGAACAGCCACACTTGGTGGCCAGTGTCCAGGCGACTCCGGCACGACTCCAGGGTGACACCGGCAAGCAGCACCGCGAGATGATCGTGAAGCTTACCATTGCACGGTGCGAAACCCTGTACGCAGCTCGGCGTTGCTCGCAGGCGGCGTCCCCACAAACCCATCGGCGAAGCACATCTGCCCGGCCAACTCCAGCTGGGGCTCGATGGACTCTTTCCACGTGATGAGGTCGTAGCGACCGACTAGCGGCGCGGTGACGGCGATCTTGTCCAGCGTACATTTGAAGTGGCCGTAGGACGGCGATTTTCCTCCCGCCGTCACGTGGGTCGCTGACGCAGGCGTCACGCTGCTTCGACGTCCACCAACGTCACCTTGCGAGGAGCCCGCAGCCGCCGACGACTGCAGCCCTCGCGCCTGGTCCCCGCCGACTTCACCGCCTACGGTTTTCCTGATCACTCCTATCTTCCTCGTGCCCTCCCTGACGCCGACTTGGGCACCGCCGTCGACCTCCTCGTCGACGCCGCCTTTGTTGCTTACCGGTCGAGGAGAAACAGGTTGGGAAGGGTGTTCCGTCGCCCACTTTGCGCGGATGCCCATCTCGACGACCTCCAAGGGGAGCACCGGCCCGTACTCGCCAGCCTCGTGGCGTCTCCTCGCATCAGCTAATCATTTCTCCAGGGTGTCCGCTACGCCCGTCTCGACTACGGGGTCGACCATGGCGACTAGGACGGTTGTCGGCCTACGAACGAAATTAGTTTGGCGCACCTACATCAGCTACTCCGAAGGTAGGTTGCGGGGCCGTCCACGCTCTCACTCACCGCACCATCTGGAGATAACTACTGCAACGGGAACTAGACTACGGGGAAGGCGCGGTTGCAAGGGTGATTTCAGCGTTCCTTGCGTTCTCTGGCACTTGCGTGTTCACGGGGCAAAACGGCAAGAGTTTCACTAGAGAAAGTTCAGAAAAATAGTTGAACAGGCAAAACAACAATAGACTACATCAGATGCAAAGTTGCCTAGCAGGTCGACCTCCAGCGCAGCATGGTCGATTGCGTTCCAGCACTACAAAGTCGACCACGCTCCAGCAGTGCAAAGTAGCGGCCTGCCAACGCTGCAAGGCGACGGCGTGCCAACGCTGCAGCAAGACGGCTGCACAGCGTTGCACCCGCATGACAGCAGCGCACCCGCTTCGCCGGTGCTCGCAGCTGGTTGGCAAGCTGTGCCCCGTCACGTGCACAGCGCAGACACCAAACTGACCACGTGCCAAAGTCTGCACCTGATCAGCCACGTTGACTTTGGGATACCACCTCCGAGGTCGGCATTTTCCAGAGCTACCTCGGCGACCGTTGCGCACCTCCACAGAGTCCCGTCGCCTGGTAACCTGGTCGACCGGGCAACCCCGTCGACCAGGTGCTGCTCCTCGTTCCCGTCGACCGCCCAGGTCGACGACCACCGTCGCCGACTTCACCTAGCCGGCTCCCACAGTTCGGTGTCTCCAAGTCATCACCACCCAGCTCGGCGCCACCAAGTCGGCGCCTCTCAGCTCGGCGCCCCCCAGGTCTGCCTCGCCAGGACGACCTTCCGAAGTTGGCGCCCTCCAAGTCGGCGCCCCTTCCCAGGTCGACGATCCCCGTTGTTCGACCACCGATAGATGTCAGCCGCCTGCGTACCCGTAGTCGGCGGCTTCGCAGTGGCCCCGTGGAGGTCAACCAGACCCGTTGACCAGCTCGCCCAAATCGGCGTCGCCCACTGCTGCTGTTCGGCTGCACCTCCCGTACACCCGACTACGAAGTCGGCTTCGCCCAAGCAAGAACGGGGCCAACAACCAACTCCCGTTGACACCTCACTCTCTCCTGCTCGAGGTTTCGAAGCTCCCTCATGCTCGCAATTCCAATTTCACTTGAGCAGCAGTTTCTGTTCCGTCTAGAATCAATAACTCCGTTGTTACACTCGCGTTGTTGCTTGTTCAATACTTCACACCTTCACATCATCCAGAGAACTGTCTCACCACCTCTCCTTGCCTTCCCATGCCAAGCCACAACATTCGACCCACCTTGAACTCCACAACCCCCAAATCAGCATGGCCTCTCCTCCCCCTTCATTGACATCTTTCTTATTCGCTGTTTATCACAAAAGCTTTTGGTTCCATTTCCCCCTAATACCCTCATCTCTCCCATTTTCTCCTTCATCCATTGTGTGTTGTCCTGATCTCACGGTCAATCCTGCTTCGTCCCTCCTTGCTACCCTCACTCGTTCTCTCCTCGTTTCGTCGTTTCAAACCCCTGTTTTACATGCTCTCAACTCTTTTCCTCCACTCTTCCTCCGTTTACCATCATCAGACATTCCTTTGCAAGTGATTTTCCGAAATCAGTCAGTCACTGCCTCTCCTGTCCTACCTGCCTGTCCAGATACCTCGACCACAATACCTTTGGTGGACCCATTCCACCACACTTGGCACTGCCCAGCCTCGTTGAGCTGTAAGAACCTCCATGTTGGCCCATTCTGTTCACTCATATTTGGACCTCCATCCATTCCTATTCAACCCTTGAGCTCCCCTCCTACCTGCACTCTCTGCCTAGCCCCATATCTCATTTTATGCCCCAATCCCCCTCACTCTGCTGCTCTGTGCAATGTTTCGTTTGGGATGTCGTGGCTGCAGTCAACTAGCCAACAATCTGTTCACAGGAGGCATCCCTAATACCTTCACTAGGCTCACTGGCATGAGAACTCTGTATGTCTCTCCCTCCCCATGCTAATTACCTCTCCCTGTCTCGACTGCAAAGAAAACGAGATTCGCCTGTCGAAGGTATACATGAGCATTTTATGAGCCGAGCAAAACTTGTATCGTTTTTCATCAACTCGATCGAGTTTTGAAGCGAGTCTAGTTTTTCTCTGACAATTTTTTTTTTTCACTCCTCCCCCCACCTACCCACCCACCCACCCCAACCCAACCCATCCCTCCTCCCCCCAAGAGCCAGTCTGGCCACCTGCTTCACCCATGCTTGTAGCAGATGTGCTAGGAAGTGTCAGATCGGCACAGATCTGACTGTGAAATGTCGCGACGATCTTTTATTTATATGACGACTCGTCGTCAAGAAGAGGTGTAGCCGCTTGACTTGTTCGAGTTAAAATAAAGAGAGAGAAAAAAATCAGGACTTCAAACCCGTCACGTCAAGAACCAGTTTTCAAAACGAGTTCACTCGTTGCCCGTGCCAAGGAGATGCTTGTTGCGAGCACAAAATTGGTAGCATAACCTCACATGTTTGTGAGTTGTTTTATCTTGTACCTTGTTTGACTTAGGATGCTCTGTCTCCAGCCTTGTGCTTGTTGCCTCTGACACGTGTGTCTGCTCCAATTGACAGAGACATTGGTTTCAATCGTCTCAACTCAGGCCTTCACGTGGTGGCTCAGATGACATGGCTCGCAAACATGTGAGTGTTTTCGTCTATTCACCACCTCATCAGCCTCGTGTTGACTGTCGTTCTAATTTCCCTCACCTCCCTTCGTCCACATTGGCTGCCTGCAACATCCGAGACACTTTCTTAAACCCTGGCTGTGCAGACTCCTCGATAGCAACAACTTATCTGGTGTGCTTCCAGCGTCCTTTATAGCCATCAAGAGCCTCGCATTTCTGTGAGTCTGCTCTATCCATCTCTCACCTCATCAGTGTAACAGCCCCCTCGCACCTACCTGGGTAAGGATGCAACAACAGGTAGGGTTTTTCCAAGTACCCCTATTTTAAGTGTACTGATTAATATTCTGTTTTTTGTTATTGAATCAACTTGCATCTCATTCGTTTCCCATCGCTTGTGTTTTAATCCTTATATCTGTGTTACGTATGAATGCTGTATATACATGTGCATATATCCACATGTTGGCTTGTGGGCGCTGCCGGCATCCGACGAGCCATTGAGGGATTGTGTGGTGCTAGTGCCGGTGGTTGCATTATAAGGTGGTTCCGCCATAGAAAATATAAGAAAGAAATTCCTTGAACGGTAATGTACTGGGTGCAAATGCCAGACACGCTCCCAGTCAGGGCAGGGCACATCCATACCTTTCTTAACCCATTCATGCATGCAAATGCTAGAAGCCACTGATTTGAGTTGAGCCCACGTGTTTTCGAACGTCTGCAGTAGCCTGTGCACGTTCCTGAATAAATGTGTGTTTTCCCACACACCCCTTCTGCATGAATGTGTTTCATCATCTTCCCACCACATGTGTCTTGCGCCTCATTCAGGCTTTTAAATAACAACCACCTCACTGGAACCTTCCCCCATTCTATTCTGCTCCACACAAGCCTTCTACAACTGTAAGTAGGCAAGAGCAAAAGTCGAACATGAACCACGTTTTTAAACAACCTTTTCAATCAAACAAAACATGTTTGTTCGACTCAAATAGTATTGGGAAAGTGATGTTCAGCTGTTCAAAAGGAGCTGGTCGAAGGGAGCTGTTTGCCTCGTCGAACATGAACATGTTCGGTTCGAGTATAAACTTTTGCTAGTCACAAGTGGGCCCTTACTCAAATCCGTGATAGGAGCAGGACACACGATGGAGCACACGAACGTTCATACTAGGTGAAGCATCCTCCATCACGGATTTTGAAATACAACCGTAGCAATGGATTCACATGCTAGAAGAGAGTGTAAGCAAAAAAATGAGCTCAAGCTTTCTCAATTTCGACAAAAAAAATCCAACCCGTGCAACCTGAGTCGCGCAGGTTTCAACATGTTTGACTCGATTATATAACGCAGCCGGTTCGATGCGCCTTGACAGACTTTGGCAAACCGAATCGAACATGTTCGACTAGAAGTCTAGAACAGTGTCAATGTTCGGGTCAAACACTTCTGGGGGAAAAACAGAAGAGGATGCCTGTTTGGTTCGACCCGAATATGTTTAATTTAAACCGAACAGAGTTGAATGTTTTGCTAAACCCTACCTGTAAAGCATTCTACAGGGTTAAACAATTATGGCGCTCACTCAGTCGTCCAAAATTCCTGGGGAAACCATCATCTAAACTTATTTGGCACTTGCAATCGCAATGGCAATGGCAGGGACCTGAGCAACAACAGTTTCACCGGTTCTATCCCTCACGAATTGACCAACCTTGTCAACCTGCAGAACATGTGAGTGAGTAGAACCAGTGCCTGGTCCAGCATCAGGCTGTGGCTTCATTCAGCGAGAGCGGTTGTGGGTGCACCAGCTTGAAGGATAAAGGATTGTCCTGGGAAGTGTGATGGGACTTAAAAGGGATGGGACATGAAGAGATAACAAGGATTGCTAAGTAGGGGCTCGGGGTTGAGGAACCTTTAGCAAGTCTGTCCATGCTGTATCCTTTTGCGTGGAGATTTGAGGTCACTTACTTCTGAGGTTCTTGATACCATTGTCCAGTAATCTCAATGACAACAACTTTCGTGGAACTATCCCATCCAGCCTGTTTCAGCTATCCATGCTGTCGTCACTGTGAGTCGCTCCACGGCTCCATCACCCCTGCTTGAATTTTCTTTATCTCAACCTCTTTCCCTGCTGAGTATGCATAGAAATGTATACAAGTATCTGTGACAAAGGAATGTCAAGTGGCACTTTGCAAGAACCCCAATGCCAGATACTAAATCAGGAATCCGCATGCCTGCTATTGAAATTGGATCTTGCTTCTTTCCCTAATCTTAATATTTTTATCTCCTTACCAAGGTTATTGTTGTTGGAGGCCCACAATGTATGCATGTGAGTTGGCAAGTCATGTTGGATTCCTAGCAGCTGCATTCAGTCAATCCTTCCCTCTGTTTCCCCTCCTCCCCAACACAGGCAAGTAGCTAACAACTTCCTTTCTGGGGGCCTCCCACGGACTCTCACTGCCCAGTCTTCTCTTCACACGCTGTAAGTAGTGCCACCACTGGGTGCTGGTACCACTGTGTGTAACTGGTGCTACCCTGTTCCATTCGTGCTTAGCTTTCATGCCCCTGAAATCTTAATTCTCTCCTATTGCACCCTGCAGCAGCCTGGCAAGAAATGGCTTCACGGGCTCACTGCCAAACTTCTCGCGCTGGAAAGTCAGCTGTGCCCAGATGTAAGCCTCCCCACACTCTCTTCCTCCCCTTCCCCCGCTGACACCCCCCCTGTCCCACTCTCAATATCGCTTGCTCAATCCCGTTCCAACACCTTGGGGTTTGTGGGCCATTTGCATGTATTGTACTGCATTGCACCCATCGTTGCCGCCTCGCCTGTGTTGATTGTGGCTCAGAGATCTCAGCAACAACAACTTCACGGGGTCTATTCCCGTCTCCATCTCCACACTCACCACCCTCGATTCGATGTGAGCTTTCTTGGGTCGCGTCATGTCCTTCAGCACAAAACCATCAAACCATTCCCATCTAAGCATAGCGGGTTGTCGAGTCCAAATTCCATCTGTGAGCCTCAAAGTTGCAGGAGAAGGGTAGCAGTGGCTGGCAGGTCTATTCGCGCACTACTCTTTGCCTGTGTCCTAGCTGCATATGCGTAATTTGCACTTTCAACCTACCCATTTCCTTGCCATACCTATACAGATTTCTCAACAACAACCAACTGACAGGCACCATTCCCTCTGCCATGTTTACCTTGACAAATCTGAAGTACCTGTAAGCATCAGAGGATCAGAGCTCCCCTTACCAAGTGCACATCATACATTCCCACCTCTGCCCAATGGTTCTTTCCTGCATCAGCCCTCACTGCTCTTGCATACGCCACTTCTCATTGAAACGTCCCCCTGCCATCCCTCCAGCTACATGGCCAACAACCATCTGAGTGGCAGCCTGCCAGATGCCATCAGTCGACTGGAGATGCTCGAACAGATGTGAGGGTGCTATCTGCCCTCCTCTTTTGCATTTCTCGGGAATGTTGTTGGCAGCGTAGAACCCTTACAGGCATCACAATCAAGGCAAGTACACTGTAAACTGGTACTTCAACACAAGTTTAGCAAGCGTCTCACCGTGATGGTTGAAAATTGAACACACGCAATCGTGGCATCCCCAGCCCAATCCACCTTAAATCCTATTGTGATTTGTTAGTACAATTTGATGTTTGTGCAACCATCCGCACCTTCCTGCCTCCTACCACTGCTCTGCTTGCCCCCACAGCTGGATGGACAACAACAAGATTGAGGGCCCTCTGCCATCTGGCCTGTGCTCGCTGCCCTGGCTGTGGCGCATGTGAGTGGCTGTTGCGCATGTGAGTGGCTAGGGCATATGCAAATGTCTGTTATACATGACTGAGTATTTTGATAGAGAATGCTAAAACACTTTCTTGAAAACGATGTTCAAGCATTCTCCAGCCAAGATATAGTAGACTGTCGCTGATTGAAATCAAGTGACACTCTTCATTCATGATTCCCAATTGTAAGGAAACATGGCAACCAGTTGTATCTCCGTGCTGTCTAAATATTGGTGAGGCATGGTGTGTGTGGTGCTGCTGGCAGCATGGTGAGCAACAACTACCTGTACGGGCCCCTTCCGGACTGCCTCTTTGACAAATGTATTAACCAAATGTGAGCCAACCGCGCATAATTGATTCCCAGTCATGCATGCAGCATCTCTCAGCCTCATTATGGTCAGCGCAATGAGTAACAAGAGCCACGGGTTCACTGCAGTAGAATATGTGGTGGGACTACCTCTAGACACTCAAAGCCCACCTTCTGCCCTTCGCCTGCCCACCCTACTCCCCATAGTGATGTGAGCGGCAACAGCCTGTACGGGCGCATCAACCGCAACTTCAAGAGCATGGTGGCGGATGGCGATGCGCTCATCAACTTGGCTCACAACTTCTTCTTTGGTGATGCCCTGCTCCTCGCTGCCGGCTGCCAGGTCTGCCCCATCCACATCAGCGAGCCCAACAACCTTGAAATGGGGGACACCTTTGATGTACTGGCTGGCAAGTGCAACACTGCTGCAGCCACGGGTCTTCGAGATATCTCTATAGTGGGGGCAGGCAAGGAGGCGAGGGTGAGTGTGGCAGCGGAGCGGAGTGGCTCGCTGCGGCAGCGGCTGCGCCTGGCGCAAGGAGCAGCGGAGGGGCTGGCGTACCTGCATGGATTTGCGACGCCCATCATCCACCGCGACATCAAGCCCGCCAACATCCTTGTGACGGCCGACATGCACGCCAAGGTGGCTGACTTTGGGCTCCTGAAGCTCATCACTCACGGGGAAGGCAAGGAGACTAGAGTGGCTGGCACTCCTGGCTATGTGGACCCAGATTACAACCGCACAAACGTGCTCACCACCAAGTGTGATGTCTTCAGGTTGGACTGCTTTTGGCAAGAATGCCTATTTACAGTCCTGCTTCTGGTTTTCTTACAATTCCTTCCTCTGCAATCTTTTTCCTGCTTCTGGTGTCGAAGATTATGTATGCTTTCTGTGTGCCTCCAGCTTTGGCATCGTGCTTCTGGAGCTGCTGACTGGCTCGAAACCAATTCGCTACGAGTCGCACATCAGAAATTGGGTACGTGCATTGCAAATGAGGAATCGTGGGGCCATTTTTTGTCTGCAATGAAGCGAAACATCTAATCTGCGCCGTGCCATTGTGATGTGTCCATTCACCACCAGGCAATGAAGAAGATGGAGGAGTATGCGCTGGATGAGCTCAAGGACAGCAAGCTGGAAGCAAGCGAGGAGGCCATAGTGGCCTTTGCGGACCTCGCTTTGGACTGCGTCAAGATGCCGGGCACACGCCGGCCCGACATGAAGGCGGTAGCTCACTCCCTCAGCGCCATTATTGAGAAGTTCTGCCCTGAGAAGGAGCCATGCGAGTTCGTGGAAAACCTGTCATCATTCACAGGGAGCGAAATCAGCCAGTCTGGGGCTCTCTCCAAAATGTCTCAAGCGTCCAGTAGCATCAATCAGAGTGGCAGGTCCTTCAGTGGCCTTGGTTCCACGTTCCGTGGTCTGGGCAGCTGGGCGCAGTATCGATTCTCAGGAAGATACTAAGCCAATGTAGCATCTACACCAGGCCCCACGATATCAGGGCAAAACATCCTGATTACCCTGAATTCAGGATGCATATTTGAATTTGCCTTGTAATTTCAGAATAGTGCCACTTTTAACCCTGAGCTCTCAGGATGTTATTATATGAAATGCCCTGGAAAATCAGGATGGCTGTGGTGTTCTTCCCTGTAGCGTCAGGATGAATGTCGAGGCTTGCCCCGACACGTTTTTGTTTTTAGGGGAAGGGGGGAGGGTACCGTTTCCCAGGAATTTGTTCCCCAGAAATCTTTCCCCCGCGGATTGCTTTCCCCGTGCGGATTGCTTTCCGCCTTTGCGACCCCCTTGCACTTCCGACCCTGCGCAACGCACCAACCAAACGCATCAGATGGGGGAAACAGGGAACACTCCCATCTCGTCGTGTGCCATGCTGCTCTGCTCTGCTCAGCAGAGTCTGGTCTGGTCTGTGCTGAAATCTGAACCCTGAACACAGGTTTTTTTGCCCTGACAGGTCAGGATTAATGTATGCAGAAGCCCTGAACATACAGGAAGGCTTTGAAAATTTTCCCTGACAAATCAGGGCATTTTTTTAAGATTTTAGAAAAGTGCCCTGAGGCCTCAAGGTGCCCCAATTCCTAGCACGGGCCGTGATCTACACCATGTTTTCCGGCATAGGCAATTGGGTTCATGACGATGATCTAGCTTCACAGAGGGTCAGGAGGGCTTATTTTATCATTGTAATTTGCCCTTATGCCCTGATTATCAGGGTGGTTTTTGGAAGGGTTGACCAGAGTTTTTTTTAAGGTTGTGAAGCAACCCTTTACGATCGACCAAATACTGTTTTCATCATTAATTTTAGTAAATGATAAAAATAAAATTAAGAATATACACTAATACCCTTCCCATACTGTGTACATGTTGAGCAATTTTGAATACTATTCGCTCTCTATTGGGCCATGAGCTTCTTTTATTGTAGTAGTCTATGTTGTACTGTTCGCAATACATTTTTTTTACTGTTAGATGGTGCAGTGGTAATTGTGAAATGCATGGTAATACATGTTTAGATGCTTAGATGAATGTAATGAAACAAGTTAAAATAGATGTTTATGCATAGATAATGCTTTAGTATGAATAATGTGTTGTCTAATATGGAATGCTAAAATGCACACGTAGCATGATAGTGTCAAAATAGTAACTAGCTAAGCTTAGGAGCCATATCTAGGTTACGAGAGAGGGGAGAGGCAAGGAAGGTCGAGAGGAACATGTCGAGAGAGAATTGTCAAAGAGGGTTTCAATAATGAACAAGGGTACAAGGATATAGGCAAAAGAGGAAACAATGGTACATCACTTGCAAGATCTTATAACTACACTAGGCTCTACTGTAGGCAGTTATAAATGTATACGAATACATTTCAACACACCCCCTGAATGCCTACAGCTAGAACCATGTGCAGTACTCCTCCTGCAGGGGTACACCAAGTGCTGAGAAAACAGCAACAGCAGGCAAGAGCAGTGACAACCGGTGTAGTGGTAGCAGATTCAATTGCACCAACCCCTCCCCCAAGGTTGATGCTGTAGAAGCAGGTGCATGTGGCGGCAGGTCGCCTGGAGAGCAGATGCTTGCGGCGGCAGCGTGCGGCGGCACAGCAGGGCTCAACGGCAGCACCTGCCAATCAACAGCAGCAGACAGAAAACAAAAGAAACAGCAGGTGGAGGCAGGGGCGGCAGTTGGAGGTGCCACGGTAGCAGCGGGCGGCAGCTGCAGATGCCTGGCTGACTTCCGCCACCGCCTCACCCTCCCCCCCACAGTGGCACGTGCAGTTGTGAGAGAGAGAGGAGGAGGGGCGGCTGCTGGCTCAACAGAATCTCTCTAGCCTCCCCCTCACACCCCCCCTTTTCCCCCACAACGACAGGCGCTGGAGGGAGAGAGAGTAGAGAGGAGGGCGGAGGCTGGTTCCTTCGGGTACATTCCCGCCACCTCCACCCCTTCCCCCTTCCTCCTCCACGGTTGCACGAGCAGCGTAAGTGGCGGGAGCCGCGACGGCATCCACCCCCGTCACCCCCACTCACGGCCACCACCCCCAACTCACCCCCCTTCCCCCCCACGGCAGGAGCAAACTCGGCAGAAACAGCTGGGCCGACGGTAGGGCGGGTGGGGTAACATGCTGGGGCGTGACGAGTGGGGCGTGGGGGGGAAGCTTTGGGTGGGCCAGGGGGTCGCGGGTGCAGCGCGTCAGGCAGACGGTGGCGCAGTCAACAGGCAGGCGCAAGGGCGGCGCAACGAGCGTGCGCGGTGCTGGCGACAGTGCAGGCGAGGCCGCGAGCGACGGGGCCGCGGGGCGACGAAACAGCGAGGAGTGACGGGGGGGGCGTAGGGCGACAAAACGGCTCAGAAAAACATATGAGATGGCGGGATAGGCGGGCCCATTGAGAATTAGGTCCTAAATAGAACCGCACTCTAATAGCATGTCAAAATAGTAACTAGCTAAGCTTAGGAGCCATAGCTAGGTTACGAGAGAGGGGAGAGGCAAGGAAGGTCGAGAGGAACATGTCGAGAGAGAATTGTCAAAGAGGGTTTCAATAATGAACAAGGGTACAAGGATATAGGCAAAAGAGGAAACAATGGTACACCACCTGCAAGATCTTGTAACTACACTAGGCTCTACTGTAGGCAGTTATAAATGTATACGAATACATTTCAACAGATAGTTACCGACAAGTGCATGATAGTACGTGGATAGAAATGTGTGCTAGTTAACGACCCAGAAACTAAGCTACCGCATCCCCTGCCTAGCATGGGGGGAGGTCAATAGGGTCAAAGGAATGAACGAGAATTAATGAACTATGAAAGAGTTGGGTACAAATACTAACCCTAATTGGGTTGTACCCCTTATGGGCTACCCCACTATAGCCTACACAATGTAAGCAATATAGCATTTTGACACACCCCCATAGGCAAGGCGGCGGAGAACAAGTGGTCACAAGACCAGTCAAGAAAAGCAAAGCAAGCTCAGGGTGGATCACAAAGTCACCACACAGTCCGAGCACAAGCAAAGGGCCACAAGGCCAGTTCACATGCAGAGCTATATATAGACCACAAACAGTACAGTGATCATAGCCTAGCAAGAGTAAGCATGCAGGTATATATATAGATCACAGTACAAGCAAAGTCACGCAGTGAGTGAGGCAAAGTAGGCACAAGGCCTAACACAGTAGAGAAGCGCTGATGATCACCAGGCGGAAGTGCTTTGGTGAGTATATCAGCAGTGTTGGCCCTAGTGGCCACGTACGCAAGACGAAGCTGGCCACGCTGCTGCAACTCTCGAGCAAGGAAGTATCGCAGAGCGATGTGCTTCGTTCTGTGCTCCAGTCTGTGCTCCTGACACAAGGCAATCATGGCCTTGTTGTCTACGTACAAAACTGGCGGCGAACGAGGCTGCTCTCCCAAGTCAGTCAGTAGGTAGGTGAGCCAGCGTAGCTCCTATGCAGCCATGGCCCCTGCGTAGATCTCAGCCTCACAACTGGAGCTGAGAACCGAAGACGAGTGGGTAGACCGCCAGGAAACAGAGCCGGAACCGAGGCTGAAGGTGTAACCCTGTGACGACCGCTGCGTAGCTGAGTCATCCACCCAAGAAGCTTCTGCGTGACCACTGAGGACAATTGGACCCCATCCTCCAAGCACGAGCCCCATGCCCGACGTACTACACAAGTAACGCAGTACCCTCTTCGAAGCATCCGAGTGCACCTTTCGGTGCCTACCAGGAGCCACGTAGCGAGCCAGGAGGCTGTGAGGGTACGCGAGGTCAGGTCGTGTGCACGTCATCAGGTACATGAGGCAACCCACAAGCTCTGGGTATGGACCACTCGGCTCTACTGACTCGTCCGAAGGTGGAGCTGAGAGCGAGTGGCCGGTAGACAGAGGAGTGGGCTGTGGCGAGGAGAACTGGAAGCCGAAGCGCTGAAGGACCTGGTGCACCATGTGTGACTAAGTTAGTGTGATGGTGCGCCATGCTCTGTCCCGGGTGATCTGCAAGCCAAGATAGCTGCGCAGTTCACCCAGGTCAGTGCAGGTGTGTCTCTTCTGCAGCTCCGACTCACAAGGGTCAGTGCCTCAGTGTCAGCAGTGGCAAAGACCAGGTCGTCGACGTACACGAGGACGTGGAACAGCGGCAGTGACGTGTCGGTTCGTAGAATCAGCGACGGGTCAGCAGTAGAAGGAGTAAACCCCAGAGCCGCAAGTGTAGTCCTCAGTGTGTCGTGCTAGTCGCGAGGCGCCTGGCGGAGACCGTAGACTGGCCGCCAGAGGCTCCACTGGGTACCTGCAAGAAACGACCCAGTGAAGCCAGGTGGGCGGCGCAGCCAGATCTCCTCGTGCAGGCTGCCCTGCAAGAAAGCTGTACTAAAGTCCAGAGAGTGTAACTCGTAGTTACGCTGAGCAGCGACGTGCAGCAACACCCGAAGAGTGGTCATCTTCGGGGTGGGGGAGAATGTCTGGAAGTAGTCGACCCCCTGTCGCTGACTAAAGCCTCGAGCAATGTAACGCGCCTTGAAGGCAGGCGGAGAACCCGGCGGCCGCTTCACCCTGAAAATCCACATGCCATCGACTATGTTCGCCCCAGACGGGGGAACTGCGTCGACGTAGGTGCCTGTGGACTTCCAGAATGCCATCTCGGCATCCATGGCTGTCTGCTGAAGGGTCAGCAGTGGAAGGAGAAAAACCAAGAGCAGCAAGAGTCGTCCTGAGCGTGTCGTGCCACTCACGGGGCGCCTGGCGGAGACCGTAGACTGGCCGCCGGAGGCTCCATTGGGTACCAGCAGGAAACGACCCAGTGAAGCCAGGTGGGCGGCGCAGCCAGATCTCCTCGTGCAGGCTGCCCTGTAGGAAGGCTGTGCTGAAGTCAAGCGAGTGGAGCTCGTAGTCACGCTGAGCAGCAACGTGCAGCAGTACCCGAAGAGTGGTCATCTTCGGGGTAGGGGAGAAGGTCTGAAAGAAGTCAACTCCCTGT